CAGGGAGTTCATTCCACACTCTCTATAAACCACCCTCTATATAAAAAAATTGCCTTTTGTGTATTTTTTAATGCTCCAGGGATATTGCCCCAGCCTATTCAGCCTCTACCTATAATTTAAACCAGGCAATATCCTTATAAATCTTTTCTGCACCCTTTCAAGTTTATCAACATCTTTCTTATAGCAGAGTCCAGAATTGAACACAGTATTCCAAAAGTGGCCTAACCAATGTCCTGTACGGCCACAACATGAAATCCCAACTCGTATACTCAATGCACTGATCAATAAAGGCAAGTGTACCAAACACCTTTTTCACTACTCTGTCTACTTGTGACTCCACCTTCAAAAAACTATGAACCTAGACTCCAAGGTCACTTGGTGTTCGGCACCACTCTCCAGGACCCTACCATTAGGTGTATAAGTCCTGTCCTGATCTGCCTTACCAAAACGCAACACCTCATATTTATCTAAATTAATCTCCCACCTGCCACTTGGGGTCTTGTGTTAGTATTTCTATGGTTTAGAGTTTTGTTTAAGATTTAGTTAATCTGGTATTATTAAAGCCTCTTTGTAAACACATATTTTGCTTGTGTAACTAGGGATAGAGGCCATTTTTCTATGCTTAACAATCCAATGCTTAACAAGAAGACAAACAAACTAAATTACGAGTAGCAGCCAGTAACAGTATTAGTAGAAGCACCTCAATGATATTTGAATAGAATAATGATTCATCAATAATCATTAGTAAATAAAAGCTGGATTTATCCTAAATTTTAGTAGTGTGTCTGAATAACTGCCTGCATTTTAAAATGTAATTTGGAACAGACTGTAAAATGCATTGATGAAAGAACCTGCAGGGGACTTTCCAGCAGCACTGTCCTTGGCATTGAAGCCTATAAATAAGAGCTTGTCCTTTTAAATAAAAAGCACACACTGAATTGTTTCATAATCTTCCAGTGAGAGAGATCATGTATACACAGGAAGATCCAATTATTGTCAAATTTGATTTCAACAAAAACTTTTAATTAAGGTCAAATGTTAAATATTCCAAGTGCCACATTTTGAGCTCTCCAAGTCCCCCGAGGGCAGGTGAAGTGTGGTCCTGCTTCAGGTTGAGTTTAAATCAATCTAAAGTGTGAGTTTCATTTCAGATAATTTGGGATTTTTTGTAAATGTGGAAATTTGAGGACAGAATAGTTAATTAGAGATTTCTGTCTGAGTTTTGTCAGTTTTCAGAACATTAATCAGGAACTTCTGTCCACATGAGTACTTGAGGTGCATTGTTTCAGGGAAGAAGGAGGTTTCTTGTCCAAGAGCTGAGTTTTGAATCTAGTTTGAAGTCTGCCTTATATTTTGTAAGTATAATTTTTCTGTCTTTCATTTGTTACTTAAATACTGTTGAGTTTCTGGATGAGTGGTCTGATTGAATTCAGTAAAGTTTGATATTATTCACTAACTGAGTGTCTTTGTCCTGCCTAATGCCAGTTGAATCTGAAGCATTTAAAGGAGTTAATTTGAGAACTTAATAAGGTGAGTGCGACCAAATTGAACAAATGTAAAATTATCTAAACTCCCTTTTAAAACTTCCAATATTGACAACAATGTAGGGACAGAGATGAAAGACCAGGACATGAGAGACATGTTGTGAAGCTACAGGTTGTTCACAGTAAATGTTATCATACGCAAGGCAAGCAGGAATGAAAATAGCTGTCACTGAACTACTCAAGGAAGCTAGAGCATTTCTCTGGGGGAGGTGAAGAGTTTAGTACATTGGAGGAGATATCATTTTGTGATATAATTTCTTATGTCGATAGCAAGATATAATCAAGGGGTGGAAATCAGCTAAAGCTTCAGAGTTCCTAGCATATACAACACATTGCATTTCATGTGGAAACAGTGATGGCATTAGCAATCTAAAAAAGCGCATTATTATTGCAGAACAGCTCGAGAGGTCAAGAGCTACAAGGAGCAACTGACGACAGTGAAGAGAGAGAAATTATAAATCTAGTTAGCTAGAGTAAGTTTGGGAGATAGTAGGAACTGCCGATGCTGGAGAATCTGAGATAACAAGGTGTAGAGCTAGATGAACACAGCAGGCCAAGCAGCATCAGAGGAGCAGGAAAGGGCCTGACATTTCGGGTCTGGATCCTGAAGAAGGGTCCAGACCCGAATCATCAGTTTTCCTGCTCCTCTGATGCTCCTTGGCCTGCTGTGTTCGTCCAGCTCTACACCTTGTTATCTTAGAGTAAGATTGGGGTGTTTTCAGATTTAAAATATGTGAAGGAAACATGAAAACAGACCATTCCCATTGTCATGAAAAGATATTTGAGTTAGAACGATCACTAAAATATCAGAAGGCAGTTGTTGCTGTGTATAAAAGAAACAATATGATATGACACCAACAGATACAGATTTTTTTAATTCACTCGAGGTACAGGGTGTTGCTGGCTGGCTAACATTTATTGGCTGTTCTTTGTTGCCTAAGAAGGCAGTGGTAAACTGCCTTTCTAGACAGCTGCAGTCCACGTGCTATAGGTAGACCCACAATGTCTTTAGGGAGAGAATTCCAGGAATATGTCTCAGTGACAGTGAGTCAAGATGGTGAGTGGCTTGGAGGGGAACTTGCAGGTAGTGGAATGTTCCCATGTGTCTGTTGCCCTCGTCCTTCTTTATGGAAGTGGGTGTGGGTTTGGAAAGTGCTGTGTAAGGATCTTCACCAAATTTCTGCAGCGCATCTTGTAGATAGTACACACTGCTGCTACTGAGCATCAGGGGTGAAGGGAGTGGATGCTTGTGGATATGGCACCAATCAAGCCAGCTGCTTTATCCTGGATGGTGTCAACCTTCTTGAATTGCATCTGCACCATCCAGGCAAGTGGGGAGTATTCCATCACACTCCTTTGTAGATAGGCTTTGGGGAATCAGGTGATGAGTTACTTGCTGTAGTATTCCTAGCCTCTGACTTGCTCTTTTAGCCATGTGTTTATGTGGCTAGTCCAGTTGACTTTCTGGTCTATGGTAACCCCAAAGATGGTGATAATGGGAAATTCAGTGATGGTAACACCATTGAATGTCAAGGGGTGCTGATTAGATTATCTCTTATTTGAAATAGTCATTATTTGGCATTTGCGTGGTGCGAATGTTACTTGCCACTTGTCAGCCCAAGTCTGGATATGTCCAGATCTTCTTCAGTATCTGAGCAGTCGTGAATGGTGATGAACATTATGAAGTCATTGGCAAACATCCCACTTCTGACCCTATGATGGAGGCAAGGTCATTGATGAAGCAGCTGAAGGTGGTGGGACCTAGGACACTATCCTGAGGAACTTCTGCAGAGATGTCCTGGAGCTGAGACAACTGACCTCCAACAACCACAATCATCTTTCTGTGTGCCAGGTATGACTCCCAAATATTAAAGTCATTTTGAAAATTCAAGTATATTGTATTGACTGATAATCTTGTTTACTTTCAGTTACTTTTTTAGGCAATTCAATTAGACTTGTGCCAAACAACCAACTATGTTGACTGCTTAATATTTAGAATATAATTTCAGTTCTAGATTTTTAAAATGACTTTACTAAGGCAAGACCCATTATCTTTCATTACCATAGACTTTAGATTAACTGTTTTTTTGTTTTATTTGTTTGTGGGATTTAATGACTAGGCCAGAATTTATTGCCCACCCCTAACTGCCCGGAGGCCAGTTAAGAGTTAACCACATTCCTGTGGGTCTGAATTCATATGTCGGCCAGATTGGTTAGCAAAGTTCCCTCTAAGCTGCTCTGAGGATCCACGCATGCTGACTGGTGTGCCAGTGCCATTCCCAGCATTGACGACCAATTCCAGATGTCAGTGCTGCACGCGGACCTCGAAGGTCTGCATGGACAAAAACAAAATTAACAGGTACGTTGCAGATAAAGATGATAAATTCCCTTCCCTAAAAAATATTGATGACCCAAATGGATTCTCACAACAATAGACAATGGTCACCATTAGACTAGTATATTCTTTCAGATTCTTACAGAATTCAAATTTCACCATTTGCCATTCAAACCCGTGTCCCCTGAACATTAGCCTTTGGTTCTAGATTACTAACCCAGTGACATTACCACAATCTCACTGCCTCCACAATTATTAAATATAAAAATCATACTGGCTACTTGTAAGTCAGTGGGAACTGAGTTGTGAGGAACGGTCAATAGACCCGAAATGTTAACTCTGATTTCTCTTCAAAAATGTTGCCAGACCTGCTGAGCTTTTCCAGCAACTTTGGTTTTTGTTTCTGATTTACAGCATCCACATTTCTTTCAGTTTTTAGTCAGCCATCACTGTTCTGTTTCGTGATACATATATTACTGATGGATAATAAAGATGACCAAGCCAGCGATGCACATTTGCCATGAATGAAAAAAAAATGCACAAAAGATGTGCCTTTGCTGGTTCTTGCTCAGACCAACATTCCCACACTCTTCCTGTACAATAATGTATAATCAGTCCCAAACGTACCCACCATGAAACCCACATCATTCCTTGACATATTGCATGTCAGTCAATTATGTTGAATGAATAAGAATCAAATTCCATTGCACGGAAACTTGCTAAACTTCAATTTTCCTGGTGTGTGGCACTGAGGCCAATTCTCCCCTCCCTCACACACGCTTGCCTGCTCTGTTTCACCAGCAGCACAGAAGCTGAATGGCTACAATGCAAGTGGTCAGTCTCTGATACAGAGTGACTGTTGCACAGGACCTCAGGGAAAGTGACTAACTGGTACTGGGGAGGCAGACGTTAAGGGTGCTCAATGGGGACTAAAATCAGGGGCTTTGCAATCTTGAAGCGACCATCTGCATGTTAGGAACATTGCAGAGCTGGGCACGCATATAGAGAGGGTCTTACATCTGTAGTAGCTCCTGAGTCATTATAGGTCTGACTTCACTAAGAATTTCACTGAGATATGGGAAACAAGGTTAAGGACAAACGAAGAAAAAGTGAAACTTTACCTTTCAGTTTGACAGCTGCAGAAAGGCACAGGATGAAGACCCCCAAGCTGCTCACCCTCTCCATTGTCTCCACGGCTTTTGATTACCGAGTGCTTGATTTCCTCTCTGATAAATGAAAAGACAGGAAGAGGTCTGTGTGGGCAGATGCAACCCAACGCGAGTCTGAGCTATTTGTCTTTGGTGTGAACAGGGTTTTTGAAGGAGGATCATTCTGAGTGAGAGGGTAGTATTAGTGCACTGCCTGTCACCTATCATTACTCCCTGCATCTTAAGATAAATGCATGATCCCAGAATTTCAGCTATGCCTTCCATCAGGCTATGGCATTCCAGTCTAGTATAAGCTTGTTGAGTTCAATTTTCTGACATATTGTTAAACCCCAAAGCGGAGATGGTGAGGGGACTTTGACAATGTATTGGGAGCACATCTGCCCTCTTTTAACCAGAAGAACAAATAGAAGGCCTGGATCAGGCTATCCCAGTGCTGTCACTAACATGCTGTGCAAAGATTCACAGAGATTGGTGTAGATTTGGGCAAGTTTAGGGGACACATACTCGAAGTCAGAGTGGAAAACTGGACAGACACAGAGTGCAAATAAATAGGATCAGTTAAGGGGACATGGCAATAGAGCTGCAAACACTTCTTTAAAAAGGTATAAAAGACATCTTAACCTATTAAGAGTCTTTGCCAAAGTTGATGGGACAGAGAATTAGAGGAAAACAGTAGCAATGAAGAGAAAAGGAAACACCCAACCAAAGCTTAAGTCTGCCAATGATGGAATAACCCAACAGCTATTGCTCTTTTTGATGACTCTGAAGTGGAGACGATGTTGTATAGAATCAATAACATGGTAACAGCCTGTTGTATCTATGTCAGCCACCAGAAGAATAACTCAGCCAGTTCAGATATTCTGTCCTACCCCTCAAACCTTTGTAATATTTTTTAGTCTCAGGCATTTTATCCGATTCCCCATTTAATGAGGTGCTAATGAGGACAGTTGCCCTCTGCACCAATTAAGGGCAGCTCCTCCATTAGTCCACAGGGTGGTAAGGAAGAATCAGCTTTGGTGAGACAGTTGAGCAGCTGTATTCCTGGCTGCGTGTCCCTCCTGTTGGCACAAGCTAACAACTGCCACCCCTTGAAGCAGGTGGTGTCGCTTTGGCTTTCTGCAACAAAGGGCTGGGTGTAGGCAATACCCTACTGACAGACAGCTTCAAATGACCACCACTGGGTGAGGCAAGGAAAGGGAATTGCTGGCACCTTGGCAGATGAGCACAGTGAGCTGGGATCAGCCTGTTTCTGCAGGACCGTCAGCTTTAATGGGTAGCCATTGGACTTGCACTGGGGCTGGAGGATCTGCCTGTATTCATCACCTGACTTCCAAGTTTTGGCACTGAAAAATATCATCATATTCGGAAAGAATTTTTAGAAGTGTTGGCTTTGGAAGTTGATAAACATCCTGACAGACCATTTCTGCAACAGCTGACAGGGCGGTAGGTCCTACACTGCAAGAGGATTGTGGAGGCTTCAGCGGAGTAAAGAGTTGGTAACCCACATTGACTGGACCCAGGCACCCCAGTAAATGTTAGCCTGGACTGTAAGTGTTAGTGCTCCAGGTAGGCTGGACCCTGCACCTACTGAGTTGGGAGTGATACCATTAAATCCAAAGCACACACCAACTAGGAAATTGTCATTCCTCAATGCCCAGTGACCCTGTTTCCTGTCCTCAAGATGCTGGTTTTGGATGGAGATGTCTCCATGTGAAAGGAATTAATGGCTATTCTTTCAGTGAGATCATTCATCTTCTTTACCAGTTGCTACCCTCCAATATCAGTTTCAAAGTCCCTTTTTGAGAGGCAAGGTATTTTGCCACTCTTTCTATTTTACTATTTTACTCATTCTATAATTTAAGCCTGATTTTTGTTCATTCCTGTAGTGATTGTAATTAGGTCTGCCAGGCACACCTCACAGAATATGAGCTCCCTATTTGGGGCTGTTAACCCTGGTCCAATTAGGGAACCCTGAATGACAGAAATAATTAGGAGTTTCAGCCATCCTGTTAACAGCTGGCTCTGGGGAAGCTGGATCAGTGTCAAGAACTCTCCACATATAAATAAAGATGACTCGGTGATGGAATATCGCCTTCTGTGGAATTATTTCAGTGGCAATGAAAGTGGGATTCATGATGAAACTATCCAAAAGTACCCATTGGCTGAAGCCTAACTGGACTTTAAACAGGCACTACATCTGGCTTTATCATTGGAAAATGTGGCAAGTGGAGCATATGAATTGTTAGGTATTCCAATGGAAGTGGACACCTTTGCCAGTCTGACTGAGCTTGGGAAAACCATTTGAGTGACGTCAATTGCGTAGCCTCACTCAGGAAATATCCTGAACAGAGCAACTCTAGGTAAGCCCACAGCAAAACCCTAAAGCAAAGCCCAGCTTCGACCAAACAGTTACAATATTCTTCAGGATCTGGGCCGGCAAGCCATTATATTTGCTGTCAGTATGCAGACTCAAGACAGCAATAGAGTCCCACTAGACTCAAATGGCGTAAGAGGACACTCATAGGCCGGTATCCAGGAGAGTGCACAACCTGGAAAGCCAACCTACATCTGCTTTGGAGCAGTTAAATTGCTTAGCAACATCCAAATCAGAACCAGTCAAAATAAACAACTGTTTAAATGGTCATCCGTTCAAATGGAGGTCAATGCTGGTACAGCCGTTCCAGTGATAGCAGAACCAGTCCTTAACAAAATTCATTCTGGACTCCAACCCTTAGGTTTACATCAGACCTCGGCTAGACTGAGAACCTATACTGGGGAACCTTTACAGATAAAGGGGACAACTTCGGTTCCAGTCTCTTATGAGAAGCAGCTAGTTCAGTTACCACTGATTGTAGTAAAAGGTTCGGGTCCGAACTTGATGGGACGAAATTGGTTGAGAAAGATTTACCTAAATAGGCTCAACATTTTTCAATTAGAAAATGGCTGTCTGAGTGAAGTTCTAATTAATTACCCAAAAGTTTTTCAGGGAGGTCTATGGACTATTAAAGGAGCCAAGCCCACCTTGCATGTTGACCAGGAAGCAATTCCACTATTCTGCAAGGCCCGCTCAGTGCCATTTGCCTTACGGGATAAAAATAGAGGAATGGCAGCACTGGTTGTACCGATTGTGAAGTCCAACAGGTCGATTTGCCTTTGTGGACATTTGAAACAAACAGTAAACCGCTTTTTAAAACTGGATAAATACCCAATCTCTTGCATAGAGGATTCATACACAAGACGGCAAGGGGTGCTGTCCTTCATGGACATGAGCTATGCGTACTTGGGAAAGTGGTTAGATAAGGATTCTCAGAAGTATGGTACAATTAATATCCATAAGGGTTTGTACCAATATGGGAGACTGTCATTTGGGGTTTTGTTACCCGATGCAATTTTAAGGTGGATGATGAAGAACATTTTACAAGGTCATTTTATGGGGTTCCAGCTCACCATTTAACTAGATGATGTGCAAATAACCTGGAGGACTAATAAAGAGCACTTAGAGAAATTGGACATTGTCCTTAAATGTTTCTCCCAGGTGGACATACATCCTGGAAGGGAAAGAATGTGTGTTCCAGGCTACAGAGTCGAAAAGACCAAGTTACACCCATTGGAAGATAAAGCGAGGGCGATCAAAGGGGCCGGGCTCCCGCATCTGTACTGGAGCTTAGGTCTTTCCTTGGGCTGGTGAATTGTTACGGAATGGTCATATATAACCTGGCCTCCATCCTGGCACATTTGCATCAACGACTGAAAAAAGGGTCTGCCTTGGAAATGGTCATATAACCAAGCCACAGCTTTCGGAGAAGTGAAGAACAGCTATCATCCTCTAGTGACACAGTACGATCCCAAGAGAGATCTGGTATTGACGTGCAATGCCTCTGTGAGGGCATCAGGGTAGTACTAGCTCATAGGTGACCCAATGGAGAGGAACACCCAATAGCGTATGCATCCAGGACTTTTGGTTAATGCAGCATGTAAATACACTCAGATAGAGAAAGAAGGTTTGGCAGTCATTTTTGGAGTCAGGAAGTTCCACCAGTACCTTCACGGACATAAGTTTGCAATAATAATGGACCACAAACCCCTGCTAGATCTACTTAAAGAAGATGAGGCAGTGCTGTCTGTAGCTTTGGGCCTAATTCAGCTGTGGGCTCCAATACAAGTTGGAATACCATCCGAGAAACCAAGTAGCATGCAGACACATTGAGCCACTTCTTGCTGGCAGATACACCACTGATGGTATTGCCACTGGAAGAATCTGTAATGGTTTTAAATTTTCTGGACAGCCTACCAGTCACAGCTGACAATATCACTTTGGACACAGAAAGATCCAGTCCTGGAAAAATGGAAACAGCTGGTAGTGATGGAGGAAACCAAAGGGTCATCACAACCAGAACTGAAATTTTTTTGGACCCAGAGAAACCGGATCACAGTAGAGGATGGCATATTATTAAGGGGAGCAAGAGTGATTCTCCCAAGCAAAGGTCGCAGCCAGATACTGACTGAACTCCACCAGGGTCATCCAGGGGTTTCCCAAATGAAGATATTGGTGAGAAGTTACGTCAGGTGGCCAGGATTGGATGCAGACATAGCTGCGTTGGTGGGCCAGTGCCCATAGTGCCAACAAGGACAAAAATTAACGCCAGCAGATTCCCCACATTCGTGGGAATAGCTGGGTAAACCCTGGACTCGGTTACATGTTGACTATATTGGCCCTTTCATGGGCTTAATGTTCTTAGTCATTCATTCAAAGTGGCTGGACATGCATAGAGTTCATTCATCAAACATGAGGAAGACAGTAGAAAAGCCGTACGCATTTTTTGCAATACACAGGCTGCCGGAAGTGTTGGTCACAGGTAATTGGCCATCATTTCCCAGCAGGGAATTTGAGTGTTTCCTAAAGTCAAATGGCATTCATCATATAAAGATAGCTCTATACCATTCATTATCCAACAGTCTGGCAGAAATAGCAGTTCAAACTTTGAAAGCAGCTTAAAGAAACAGCCTGCAGCTTCACTA